GTGATGCATTTTCTAAGTTTTCGCGTTTCGCTTTTTTCTGACTTCAACAATTGTTCATAGATCCCGATAACATTGCTTCAAAGATTTCATGGCATTTCATTGACATATCATAAGTAATAATTTAAAAGAATATTGACAATAAACCTTGTTTGGTAAGCACAAATTTCGAAAGAAGGGATTTAGCAATGATCAAATATTTCGATTAAATTTACCTAATCGTTCGAATTTTCAATGACCAATTTTCGCTGACGTTATTAATGAAGAGTTCTTATGCCAATCTTAGGTTTTAGTCTTCTTGCAGAGCTTTTAATTTTTCTGATTCCTTGGATCTTCCGACAAAATGTTATTATCAGATACTTTCTAGTTATTGGTCTATATGATTACTTAATGCTCATTATTATTGGGTTTACTATCAACGCTCTGGAGACTCAAGTTCTAATGTAATTAAATTTTCATCTGACGAATTATTTTAGCAACTCTGTATTTAATAGTAACCATCAACTTTCGGATAAGTATGTCTCGGCGCTTATAAACTTAGATTTCATAATTTCTAAACTTTTCATAAAGATCGTCAGTATCAGAGTTTTTCCAAAACGATGCTTCCGGCTTTTCATACACTGCTGTCATTGGGGTGGACGTTACGATCCTCTGATTGAGACTGCCCTCTTTATAAGCGTGACACTCATTATCAATTGCCAAATGCTCACGAGGTACTCGCCAATGGACCGCCTACCAAGACAAGAAAGAAAGCGCTGGTTGCGGAGCATTCATTTGCAACTTGTTATACAAAGCTCTATTTTACAGACCTGCGCGTGTGCCCCAAGACCTTTCCACATCAAATATGGGACTTTAATTGAGGAATTACGCCATTTATCATACTGCACGCGCTCGGTTGGATCGCTCAGGATTTTGTACGCTGTTAGCAATTTGTGAAATTCTGCTGATTTGTCTTCATTGAGTTTAAGCCTATCCGGATGACAAGTTAAAACACGTTTCTTGTATTCTGTCGATATTTGTTCTGGCTGTATGTAAGAAAACGTTATTTGATTACCCCTATGAAAAGGACTCCGCCAATTCTCTAATGAAAAGTGCTTTCATATCTCACCGTACTTTCTGGAACACATCCGAGCACGTAGTACAAATTATCATAGAAGCTTTCGTCGTCGTTGTTATTAATTTCTTTGTAATTTCCGAGCGTATTTAACAATGAATTATAATCGTTCATACTGAGACGTAGATGCTGAGAGAACATGTTGCAGTAGAACGAATAAATTTGTGGCGCTGACCCCTGACATGGTGGCTGGTGCCTATGAACATTCTCATAAACGTGTCTTTTAAACAGTTTTGATACGATTACAACGTATCGTCAGATTGTTTGTTAATACAACTTGGAATGGTCAAGCATAGTGAATGTCGTATTTGCTAGTTGATCACAATATCTATGACGCTCAACATGCGGATGACGAGCATAAAACTACATCATAACTCACGGTCCACAGAAATCCAACAAATCATTATTATATCAACTTGAAGACGATTGCTTTTTCTATTTTGCAATAGCCTCGACCTTCATTTTTTATAAAATACTGTGTTACCGTTTATTGATTTAAACAGCGAACGGCATGAACGTACTTTATTGCAATAAAAACACTGCATACGTAGATGCAAATCACGACATTAATGGAATCGAGGGAAATCGAAGGTGTGATGTCAAGAATAAATAGGGAAAAATAACTATAAGGAATGAAAGAGGTATTGTCCTTTACGTTTGCTTTACACACAAAACCTGCGGAGCACACGGTAGAAAAGTACAAGAATTTTTTTGAGACAAACTAACAGTTGTAATTATAATGTACAATTAATTCACATCTAATCAATTAAATCAATAATGCAACTACAACCATGACGACAGCCCATAGTCCATTGTATAGCCTCACGCTGTTACCAACACTGTTATATTCATTAGTAGTTGTGTTTCCATACGGGTCCCAGCCGTCTCCGGATCCATCATACCCATCGAATCCACTACTGTCATCGTCAGTAGAGTTAGACGTGGCATTAAGGTTTGACAATGCCTGTGGATTCCATACTGTCCAAAATTCACTTGGTCCACTGGTGATGGTAAGAAGTTTGTTTAAAAGCGTCGTATATTGTCCATCGGGATCTCCATAATGATCACGAGCTGCGTATAAGGGCGTGGTAAGCGTATCCGGTGGCTCTTTTACGCTTTTCCCGTTTTTCATATCTGTCAGAATACCTTGCGTGATTGGAACCAAATAATCGATAGCTGTTTTTATCGTTGCGCCTTGGGCAGTTTTCGCTTCCCACACGTTAGTACCATTAAGTTGGTCTGATAGACGGGCGATGTATACTAACGCAACTAGGTTAAAGCATTGGTAATGGAATGGCCTTGTACGCGCTGCTTCTAGAGGTTGTTCTCCGTCTTTGTTTATCTGACCTTGGTATATACCGCTGACAAAGCTGCTAATCAAATTACGAGCATCATCGTCTCTGTCTGCAAAATGTAAATAGGTAGCTGTTTGCGCTACAAAGAACGAACCGTGGTTGTTGTTGGCAGCCATTTCGCCTTTGCCAAGGTCTGAGGTGAGCAACCAAGTTGAGTAATCATTAAACCATGCTTTAAGGCCGTTTGTTAAGCTAGTGCCCACACTCGACTTTTCAAGCAGTGCAACGACTGGCGGAATATATACGAACGATCTCAGATCCAGTATACCTTCTGGTCTACCCGTGAAACGACCTTTGCCGCGTATGACTTGTCCAAAGTTCAATTCCGGTTTCATGAATGTGTTGTTGTTCAAGAACCAAGTATCCAAAAGATGGGCGGTCTTCGTGGCGAGATTTTCATCACCATTTAACGCATATGCAAGCGCCATTGTTGTCACGTCTGTAGTCAATTTACTGGCATCCTTTGGGTCAGATATTTTTCCAATGTCAGGGACGTATTGCCCGTCTTTTTGTTCATATGGACAGTCTGTCTGCTCATCCTTTACATTTTTAATACCTTTGCAATTTGGCCACCAGTAGGGAGCCCATGAGTAGAACTGGTGCATATCTTTGTCGGGAGGAACGACGGAGGAATTGATGACTGAGTATGGATTAGGATTAGCGAGAGCGGTTTGGGCATTTCTACGTATTGCAGCAATTGCTGAACTTGCTGCTCCGGGATTGTTTAAATATTTAGTTTTGAATGTGTTCAAACCATCTATGTTGAGAAGATCCATTTCGAGACCAGCTGTTCATGATCAAATGTGATATCAATATTAGATTCATAATAAAAGTCACTATTTGCATATATAGTTGACTAATTATCTGTTGCTTCCGATGGGGTTATCCATCTCGCAAACCCTTTACCTTCAGCAACTGAAATCCATATTGTCAGTAGGGCTGCCAGCAGCGTTGGTATCTTCATATTCTATGTATGTCTAGTAGGAGAGTGATCTTGTGTAAACTGCTATGTAAAGGACAATTGAATTAATTATTCTTCGCAGCGAAGAAATGAGCCCTCCTGTCAAAGGTAGGCGGTTCTACCGAGAGAAATTGAAAGTGTGGTTTAGTGTGTGGTGTTGAGAATGACATGGAGACTTGATAAAGTAGTATTTAAAACAAGGGCAATTGTACGAGAACATCCAATTAGGTTCTATTGCCCAATTGCATATAACAATTGTGGCATTAATATTAACGAAAATCCTTTTTAATTCTGGATTTGGTGATCAAGTGTTTGTTTTCTCAATGCAGATAAAATCCTGTTTATAAGTAAATGAATAACGGCATGATAAATATAGACTAAAAAGGTCTGACATGTGCAATACGCATAATGCAGCAAATATTAATATATCCGATATTTTTGGGTTATCGCTCAAACCTTGCATGTTTCGAAAATAATAAAAAAGGTTTATACTATAAACAAGTTATTTCGTACAACGAAAGATAAGAAAGAATTCATGAGCCAAGTCTAAAAAAGGGCTTATGCTATAAAAAGATGTTTCGTATATCAATTTCCAGAAAATTCTTCATAAGTATCGGAACTTACAAGGCAATATCGATTATAGCTAATAGAATATGAACCTTTGTCATACCTCTGCAAGCCAACTTCGGCAATACGGGTGCCAAGAAACCATCCCTTGCATATTTCCAAACATGTCGGCGGGACATTACTTATTAACAGATAACTAGTAAACAATAAGCACGCCAATAATTAGTAGAGCACAGCCGCAGATTTGCGAGTTTAGATTTTTTTTTGCGTGTTAACACAAAATAACTGATTGTCCGGAAAGCATGCAACTTACGTTCTTTGACAAAACTATTTTATTGTCTATGTCTAGTTATCGATTGTTAAAGTCTATAGGTTTGCATTTTGTCCAAAGACTACTAAACATTGACAGTACAAACACTCAACATATTTTTCACGATTTTGTTAAAAAAATATGGGTTAATCTGTAATTCATTAATCATTGCCTCATCTTAGAATTTACTCGATTGTAGTTACCAAATAATTGAACTAACAACTATTCAAAATAATGAACTCTGTCTCCTCAGTATTATGGACGTTTTCTAAGATCGCATCCGGGGAAGGTTTCTCAAGAACTGAAAGCCATTGCCTGAGTTAAAGTTGAATTAGAAAATGACAACCGTTAATCAGTATTACCCACCAAATGTGAATATTATCATACTGTACCGCTGGTCAACAAAAATTCTCCCCAGTTGATTAGAGTACTGACGAGTCAACAATCGCGGGAGAACAATCGATCGCTATTTTCACGGTTACTTAAATTCGACGACCTTTAAACTTGGCGCACTATTCACAATTGATTATAGGCGATTATTCGTCTTCGAGTCAAGCGACCGCTGAGATTAACATCTACACAAAATACGTTTCACGTTAGCGAATAACATCGGAATGCTACGAGAATATCCACGAGATAGTGGCGGATAGAATTAGCAGTTCACGACCATGTCGATATTTACCAAGGAAATAAATCATTAATAACAACGTATTTCAGAGTAAGAAAATGTTATGTGAGTAGTGCTTATTATATATCTTTTTGAACCGTTTAGTATTACTACCGGCTTATTTAAAACAACCGCATATTTACTAGGACGACTAAGAACGCATATAAAGGAATTTGCTCGAATATATTGCCGTTTTATATTAAGTAAAAATTATTATTAGACGTTGTGCGCAATACCGTAGTTCTATTCATGTGCATCGTTATTCTGAACGGAAGTATCCATGGCTTAAAAACTAAACAATCCGATAAGCAGCTTAGGGAGAAACGTCTGACTGTAAATTAAGCATATGCCGAAGTAGTTCAATTAATTACTATTCTTCCCTATAATTCCGACAGGTTTAGAATTGCTTTCATCTATATCCATCTGGATGTGACAGCTGCCGTGGCCCCGTGATTGTACGCAGGGAATGATTAATTGTACTGTCAGCTATAGCATAGGAAAATGACAGCTTGATTAAATATATGCGAAGCGTAACTTTTGTTAGATTTCATCATGTCAATTTGATCTTTAGTTTTTATAATAAAATTCCTTCTAATAAATGGGCAGTTCTTATAGTTTAAAACATATGTTTGATCTTTATTTTTCCGGTAAATTATTCGATATGCAATAGTTGTAAATTACTAGTCCCTCTATCCGCTTCTTCAAATGTTACGATTGTTATTCATGTATAAATAGAAGCCTTTTAAATAACCCAACACTAAATAATCCCATTGGAAGAGCACAGTCGATTTTATTCGGGGTCTAAGATTCATGTCTACTGATTGACATTCGGTCAGAGTAGTAAAGCTGTTTGGTAGATCGCTTGCGTTTGACTGGGAATAGGAAAAATCATAGTTTTCACTCGAAATGGATAAATCCAAGATCAACGTTGATTGCTTTTCTGCTATTGCTGGCTTGAGAGTTACATCTATCAAAGAATTTAAGAATTATATATACAAGTTTATGATGCAATAGGAGGGCTATAGAAGGCCACTTTCAAAAATGAGCATACATCTTGACTGCTAAAATCTGAAGTATTTTTAGTTAAATTAGAACACCAAACACACCCATGCATCTGAACATTAGTATTCGATAGAGAACATAATTGACATATTTTTATATGTAATTTTGCTAACTTTGTTATACATATATGCAGCCACAGTAAAAGTAATAGCAGCCAGTTTCTTGGATGTAATTGAAAGATAAAACAAACACAAAAGTCTAATTATTGCGGATACAAATTTTATTAACTATTCAGTATTTAGTATGAACCCCTTCAGCTTCAATATGCCTACTAATACTGCTAAGTATGATGTCTTTTTGAGACCATCCCATTCCTCCTTAATTATGTCTATAAAAATGGTTTGAAACCTATTTTTTTTGTGCGACCATTTCTTGATGCATTTTTCTACTTTTTTTTTCAAAACAGTCCAGATGTTCTCGATCAGATTAATATATGGGCTGTAAGAAGGCCAAGAGAGAATGTGCCATGGAAGCTGAATTTAAATCACTTTGAGCATTACAGAAAATGGGTTTTCCTCATTGAAAGACCCGGCAATGACCCAACAATTATCATACAGATAATAGATAATTATTGAAAATTTCAAATATATGAAAATTTTACTTTTATCATTGATGTTGATTGCAGCCCAAATGTGAGCTTGAATAATGTTTTACCATAAATTAATCTTTTTTTACGTAGCTATACGCGGATAATATTGTAAACCATTCGAATAGTTGTCCCATCGAAAAAGACTACTTTATTATTATTATTCCAATTACACTCACTACCAAAAAATATTGGCCGGGATTTGCCGATTAATAGTCAAACATATAATTTTAAAATCCGTATTAATAACCGATTTACAAAAACTTACATTTTTAAAAATATTTCGACGAGATTTGTATGATGTTGTGCTAATAACCATGTGGCATTTACAGTTCGAAAATATCACCCGCAAAATTTGTGCAACACTATCCCGTGATACGATGCAGACACAACCAACAATTAACAGTATCTTGATGAGATTCAGCTAGATAGTTTAACTTCGTGGCTTTTATTAAAAATTTCATGTATCTCACCTATGTGATGCCTACTAGATATTTTGAAAATTATCTTGATTATTGATGACATTGTTTCACACGATCGTACAGACCTCGCAATAATATCATAGCCTTATATACGAAAATTCCTCGCAGCCTGCATATACCGAGCCTTTGGATTGTTAAGAAAAGCAAGTATGAATTAATCGTATCTATTACTATTACACGTCTAGTTCTCCAAAATTTATACAGACCAACGTCAACAAGATATTAATTGATGTAGGACATCTTTTCAATTGCTTTAACTTGCACTGATAAGAATTGTAGAATGGAAAAAACCCGCTCTTATTATATAACGGCGCAATAGACAATAACGGATCGATGGTATAATTTTTACATTTACACGCCGAATACTATATACATGTATGTGTCACGGTTAATTACAATAATCAAGGTATGGTTCTTATAGCAAGAACAACTCCACTTTACAGAAATTGTTTTTAAAAATATTATGGCGATATTTATAGTTGACAATATCATTACTATTACCATTAATTATCTCGTGATGAGATCTCTATACAGTCAACTCTCTTTATAACGACCGCCTCGGACTGGTGCAAAATCGGTCGTTGTATGTATCGGTCGTTATATGCATCGTTGTACATATAATATATTATGACGTTTTTGAAAGTGAACAGAGCACAGGCGGTCGTTATAAGGCACTGGTCGTTATAAAGAAGGTCGTTATAAAGAGAGTTGACTGTATGCACATCTTTGAATAAACAGCAATTTTACCTTGTGGATGCTATGAGGTTGACTGTATACAGTGTGTTGCAAAAGTTTTCGGAATAGAATTTTTCCGAATAACTCCATAACCACCGCACCAATTTACATGTCTAATACCTCATTTGAAATGTTACAACCTACACATTTATTATATTAAATTTAATATGGCATACGTTCGCCATTTCTCTCGATTACCAAGCGACATCTGTCTCTCATAGATTCTACTAAATTTATTATAATATTCTCTGGAATTTTATTCCACTCCTCTACCATAAACTCTTCCAATTGTGCTCGACTTTTAGGCATTCTTCTTTCTACGTTGGTTTTAACAATACGCCAGAGATTTTCGATAGGGTTTAAGTCTGGACTGTTGGATGGCCAATCCATAACTTTGGGCACGTTTTCCTTTAAGAATGACATGACAATACGACTTGTATGTTTGGGTCATTGTCCTGTTGAAACTTCCAATCGTTACCAAAGATTCTATTGATCTCTGGCAGATGTTTGTTAAGATATCAACATAAAAGTTAGCATCCATTATTCGAGTAAAAAAAAGTCGAGTCCTCCCGTATAATTTTCCAAAAACTTTTGCAACACACTGTAGATATAACGAGATAAGCTTCCCTGTGCAAAAATCAAACCGTAATAGGATTAGGTTGACGTAATAAAATATATGCTATATTCTTTCGATCGATGATCTTAATCGGCGCATATGTCAGTTTTTGTTTAGCTATTAGTATTAGTAATATGAATAAATTGTTTAGTATGGCAAAGACTTGTATTGAGGTTAAATCAAAACTAAATCGGTTAGCGCACCCAAAGAAGTTGCAAGCTAATGAACCAAATGAAGTTGAAAGCATTTATGAGGTAGAAAGCTATTAGCACCCAAACGGTTTTTCGGGTGTTATTAATTCGTTCGATATGCATTGTTTAACGCTGAAGAGTAGTTCGAATGGACCAAAGGTTGATACAAAATGTAACAAAAAAGACGGATAAATTTTTTCAGCAAGAGGAAAAAACAAGTATATTTTACTTTCGGCAGATAATACAGTATATATATGCCAAATTTTATTAAACTCGTGCCCGGGATGCTAACAAAATGCTTTGGAGTGATTGAGTCATTCTGTCAAGGAGTTTTTGCGGAAAAATGCTCCAGAAATTACTGACTAACCTTTCAACAGTCTAGATATAAACCTAATACAAAAATTATCAAGACAATGCAGAAAGCTATTGCCAATAAATGAAAGGGTTATGACGGAAGGTAAAAACATATTTTTAAAAATACCCTAATCAGTTTTGCACAAGTCAATGCGACGACATTGTGAGCTTATAATTGAACAATTGCGAGCGGATTCCTTATTAAATAAATTTTGTTGTTTATCTGTAAAAAGTCTATGCTTATGAAAATTAAAATATCCGAAATCTTTTGTGACACGTGCGTTTCTTCCAGTTTACTACAACGCTTCCAATTGTTTTCTCAACACGTCAACCCGCTTGCGTAATATGAGATTTTATTGGTCAAGAAAGTAAGTGTACACGTTAATAATCGTAGAATCTTCATTATTTGCATTTAGTCATCTTCTAAACGTGTGCATTAGAGACTGCCACGCCCGGTCACACCTTGATTTAGATGAGGTGCCATTAAAATTGGTTTACATGGAAAAAGAGTCAAATGACTGTGTATTTTGTCTCACTAAGGAATCATACGACTGCCGCATCTTATGTAAAAAACAACTTTGATAGTAATAATATATTGGTCATCTGAAAAATCAACCGTATAACCTATTTAAATATAAGACAGTTTCTTATGTATCTTGCTTTTGATTGAGCCATAAAAATATTGAAGCATAAAGTAAACCGCTAAAACAATAAATAAAAATACTAGTGCCGCGTATTTATAAGAAACATAAATGCAAGCCATAAGTCATAATCTAACAATAAACATAGTTGCGGAACGTAGATCATAAATTAAACATAATATTAATATAGTAACACTCAAACAACGAATCCGTACACTCTCAAGCGCAACTGAACCAGCCATGCCTAATGACTCTATTCACAGTCTGTGGGCGATGGTCAGGCTCCACCTTTAACATCCAATCCATTAATTGGACGCATTCGTTCGAAGGTCGATTATATCTGCTAAACATAACTGGCCCCAATGCCTTGGATTTTATGCGTTCTTCATGGAATGGATTGGTTGCTTCAAAAAGTTGGTAAAAAATAGCTCCCAGTACCCATATTTGTGCTGTCGATAATTCATATGGCATGCGGTGGTCATACATTTCCGGGGGAAAGACTGGGAAAAAATATACCAATAGCTCAGTCAAACAATACTTCTAGGCAGTAATCTCATCCAATATTTGAATACTTACTTGACCCATTTCTTCCAAGGCCTCGCTCTTCTTCGACCGCTAGACCAAAATCGATTAATTTTACATTACTATTTGAATCGATGACTACGTTATCCAGTTTTAAGTCAGAGTGATACATGCCATGTTTCTCCAAATGATTACAAGCCGACAGTAATTGCCGCATAATTTTCCTCGCTTCACTTTCCGTTAATCCTTGCTTCCCTGTACTTCTCGCAATATCTCTTAAATAATGCCTTAAAGTGGTTTTATTCTGACCGTATCCATGTATTCAAATACGAAAATCCAATGCTTTGGATACGCTGCTGCCCAATCAATGAGCGTAATGATATTCGGATGCAAAGGAATTTTTTGGAGTACTGTTGCTTCTTTTGGTGTTTTCTCCCCATTGTACAAAACTGTGTTTGCTACAAATGCTTCAACAATTTTTATGGCCACTGGACGACTTGTTCTGCGTAGAATACGCTCCCAAATGTGCCTGACGCTAATTTCGTATGGAGCGTGTATTCGGCTGAGATCTGTGGCGGTAACGTAACGATTGTCCCCGCGTGAGCCACTACCTGGTCTGGACATTGATACATGAGTTAGTGGGACGGAGATTTTGAATTGTCACTATTTGCTTCTATTTTATCACATAAAATGGCGCATATGGTCGCATGTGATTGCTGTAATGTGACAATTCCGAAACGAGTGAATGGGCGTACAGTTAATTGCTAATATACCGAACCTGGATACTGTAACAATAATGATAATGATAATGATAATACTGATAATAATAACGATATTGTTTACTGATCTTTTTTTTAGACATGTTCAGAATGTATACCTCGTTTTCCTCTGAAATAAACTGATTTCAATGGTTTAGATGGTGCATGGAAAAAGCGTTAGAACAACTGGTAACATACTTAATGTGAAGAAACGTAAGAGTGTTTTACTTGTATCCCAAGTCTGTACTGGGGTTGTCATGTGGTTCTTGCCAGAATAATAATGTGGAAAGCTGCAGTCAGGTTTTGCCCTAGATTGTAGGTGTCCCATATTTGCGATAATTGCAACTTTTTATAGTTTTTTTTTTTTTAATTATTAATTGCTAAAAAAACTAATGACTAATTGCATTTGCATATACAGATCGATATCGACTCACCCGATTGGAATAGTATTATTGGAATAAGACATGAGGTATGTTAAAAGAATTGAGCGTAGATTTTATCAACTTTTTTATAATTAACGTGTATCGGTTGTGCCGCAAACTAATCACAGCCTAACATCGTAGAAAAGCTTATGTCACGTATGGAAACGAACGAAATTATTAAAAAATCAATTAACAAAGCTAGGAAAACGTCTTGCAAGTTATGACTCTAATCTAGAAAATAAGAGGAAACAACCTTCAGAAAGAACCGGCATATAACACAATTGACTATGCGTTAATTTTTGCTGAAGCTTGCTTTTTGGGCATTGTCCACTCGCGAAAACCCCAATCTCCAATCTCTTGTTCCAACTTCTTATTAGTATTGTCTTGTGTATTTTGTGGTACAATTCGATCGGCACACAGCACAGTGTAACACACGACGCACACCGATAACACTCACATTTAACTTTACCCCTGCCTAAAAAAAACCTTTCAAGATTGGTGTGATTTATGTTTTCTCGTTTTGGATAACTCTTGTCAAAAAGACTGTGTTGCTCGCAAAATACGGTATGAAAACCCCAGAGGAATTTGCCCAAATAGCCGTTGTAGAATTTTGGGAGACTAAAATTTACTCAGGAATTTGCAATAAGGGCCTATAATTTCATTTACATAAAATCCTCTAAAATGATGACCCTAATAGAACGTCTTTATGAAGTTCTTTACCCCCGCTACGAAGAAATACAACTTTTGCCGAGCTTGAAACTATTCCGGATTTCACATCACCTTAAAGTTATCACCATACTCGGATCAAGTCCTCTTTCACATTATGGATTATTCGATCGATTTCTTTCTTAACATTCTAAGACGCTCGCTGTTCCACCCTTCATTTGCTAGCCTTTTCTTGGCATTTATATGCGTACGGGGAACTCCTGTAAATAGTTCTATTTTCAAATGGAGCAAGCGTTTATGTGGGCAGTGCGCTTTTCGTCTGGTTTTTGGGATACATGACCAAAGTGTGGAGGAATGGGAGGAAATCAACAAGGATTGATTGGGATGATGAGATTGTTCTCATTACTGGAGGTTTGGAAATTATTCATTATTGTTTGTCAATATACGCGTAGGCTCGTTACGTATGACTAAATTCGACATCCGTCTCTAAATTAGGTGCTCGTG